TAGTAATTCATCCCCCATATAGTAATTCATCCCCCATATAGTAATTCATCCCCCATAGTAATTCATCCCCCATATAGTAATTCATTCCCCATATAGTAATTCATCCCCCATAGTAATTCATCCCCCATAGTAATTCATCCCCCATATAGTAATTCATCCCCCATAGTAATTCATCCCCCATATAGTAATTCATCCCCCATAGTAATTCATCCCCCATAGTAATTCATCCCCCATAGTAATTCATCCCCCATATAGTAATTCATCCCCCATAGTAATATCATCCCCCATATAGTAATTCATCCCCCATAGTAATTCATCCCCCATATAGTAATTCATCCCCCCATAGTAATTCATCCCCCATAGTAATTCACCCCCCATAGTAATTCATCCCCCATATAGTAATTCATCCCCCATAGTAATTCATCCCCCCCATATAGTAATTCATCCCCCACAGTAATTCATCCCCCCTATAGTAGTAATTCATCCCCCCTATAGTAATTCATCCCCCATATAGTAATTCATCCCCCATAGTAATTCATCCCCCATATAGTAATTCATCCCCCCTATAGTAATTCATCCCCCATAGTAATTCATCCCCCATATTAATTCATCCCTCATATAGTAGCAGTACGTAAGTAAGTAGCAAGTAGTAAGCCAAGTCCCCCCTGTGTCAATTCACTTACCTTTGCTCCGCGCGTTCCTCTCGCCGTGTTCCCTCGCCGTTCCGGTCTTCAGGGCGGACTGTGAGAGGAGCCTAGCTCCTCTCACGTTTGTCACGCTGCCCCGCCTACACACATCCTGACAGCCAATCACTGGCTATCAGGATGTGAGTGGCAGCGAGACTGGCCAATCATTTCATTTGAGTGCGCTGCCCTGGCTGTTTTTTTTTGGATCACGCTGAAGAGTCCCTGCCACGCGAGAGGAGGGAGGGGAGCGGGCACCCGGCACACAAGAGCCGCATTAAAGCGTGTAAAGAGCCGCATGTGGCTCGCGAGCCGCGGCTTGCCGACCACTGCCCTAGGGGACCAAGTGCATGTATTAGTGGGTCCTTTTGCAATCCATCCCATGGTGGTTGATCAGCATGGCTGGGCAGCTCACTTCCTCTTCCCCACACATACATAATAAGGGCTGGTTGAGAGAGGTTACCTTTGGCAACAGGAGCATTCTGGAGACAAGCATTAATTTTTGCTAGCACTGTTCATTCATTAATCTAAATGATCAGTCAGTGCTGCGGGGCTATGTGATGTATCTGCTAGTGCAATGGAAGCTTACTATCAACCAGCAGCTCTATCACACAGCCCCACAGCTCTGACTGATAATTTCTTTTTATGAACAAAAAGTTAAACCTGTGGGGCTGTGTGACAGATCTGCAAGCTGCTACTAAACACCATGGCAGTAGATACATCACACAACCCCCAGTGTTGACTGATCTTTTGATGCCTGTTCACACTAGATGCTATGGGGCTACACAGTGGCCACTATTTTCAGCACAGCCCCAAAACACAGAGAAGGCAAAATTCCTTGTTTCTTATTAAATCAGTTTACACCACAGCACTGCATGCAGTACTTTTTCAGCACAGTGGGTTGCAGTTTGAATCATCACATCACAATGCTGCTGCAGTGTATAGAACATTGCATGAAAAATCAACACTATGTCCAACAGTACACTCAAGTGGTCATGCGATCAGCACGGCTCGCTGGTGTGAATGAGCCCTTACTATTATGCATGAACAGGCAGCACTGTTGGGACTGTGTGACAGGGCTGAGAGAGGATCAGGGGCTGTGCTGTGCTGTAACTCTTTCAGGGTCTGGAGCTAGAAGGCTTCAAAGTGTCTTGGGTGAGACAAAGCCTTTAATCCTGTGTCCAGGTCTTATTAGAGACCTGGAGGCTATGTGAGTGTGCAGTTGCACACACTCATTATAACTGAGGCTTGGTCATAGCTCAGTGCTCCAACCAGGAGAAAGGAGTGACCCATCAGGAGACAGTTGTGTGCTCCTATTTGAAGAGAGTAGAGGTGGTCTACTCAGGAGAATGTACTGCACATTGGAGAGATTCCTTACCCAGAGGACTGAAGATGTTGGGACAGCTAAGCAGGTCTGGGAGACTGAGAAAGCTGAGGTGCCTAGGCGAGTCCAAGGGGCTGAGGGAGTCTGTGAGTCTTGGTGGAGTGAGAGAGCCCAGGGTGTTGGGAGAACCCCTACTGAGAGACCAGAGATTGGACCCATGCTTCAGGAAGCAGCAAGTGCCTGTGACCTGGCTAACAAGTGGACTTATAGTGGCTATAACGAACCCTATTGTATCGTGGTTGGAGGGAAAGGCCAATGGTAGATTATTTTGCTCCCTAGGCAAGACCAGCTACATGCAACACCCCCCCCCCCCTTTCCACATGGAGCCAATCCTTGCTAATGTTAGCTCTGAGTGGATGGTGTGGTCAGCACGGATTGTGCAGCACCTCATTGGCTGGATACTTCTTCATCTTCATCCAATCCTGTCTAGTGACAGTGACAGCAAGACCCAGTAGTGATGTTTTACACATTGCTTCCAGGTCACTAACAGGAAGGGGAGATTAGTGAACAGGTGTTCACTGATCTTCTTCTCTTCTCGTCTACTTGTGGCACTCATCATGCAGGTCTCAGGTCCACTGATGGGAGCGAGGAGCTTGGGAAGCATAGCTAGCAGGGCACATGAGTGATGTGGAAGAGGTCTGGAGACTGCACAGCTATAGGATCATTTTCACCTGACAGTCAGCCTGCCAGATTTACACACACTCAGTGAGCAGCTTCCTGATAGTTCTTATTTACAGAAGGTGCTGTATGTCTGCCTGTATACAGCTTATGGCTTTAACTCTGTCTGTGACTCAGAAAACAGGAATTGTGAGCTTGCCTGTGCACCGTGTTCCCATTGCTGCCTGTGCCCTTGGCCACCTCTGTTGAATCACCTCCCGCTGCCAAGCTAAAACCTTGCCTTCCGCCCCTTCTCAGTGAAGAAAGGGATGATCAGCCAGTGAAAGAATCACTACGCTAGTGCAAGGCTGTAAGCATTCACAGCTGGCAGCCACTGATCAACATTGCAAAATGCAGCACAGCTTAAGCCAACTGCGTTCAAAATTAAAAATGAGTCCCTCTCTGCTCCTCGCCCCCTCTGGTGAACTGATGGGGCCCAGAGAAAATGCCCTATCGGCAGCCCTGGCCGTGGCTGAACCCTAGACAGCTGCCTAGTTTGCCTAGTGGTAGTGCCAGCCCTGACAGAGGGTCTGCAATGAAAGGTTGAGGGCCAAGACAGTTGAGAGAGATGGACTGAGGGACCAATCCAAAGCCAAAGGCCAAGGTTCAAGGTCTAAGTAGTGGCGTTGCTGATGAGAGAGCCAGGTGGCTTAGTATCATCTGTTCCTGTTCATGCTGTGTGACTCTGACACCTCTACATGGGCAACCTGTTGTAAGGACTTTACTTTTCCTTTTACAAAAAAAGTGGCCTGGCAAGTTGTTAACCACAGTTTAGCCTACCACAACTCACTGAAAATGCTCACCACCACTGAGTTAAACATCCCCCGTATCACACCCTATATAAGCAGTTTTACATAATTGTTTCACTATATCCTTTCTGGTAATTTTCTATTAGTTTGCATCAACTAAGTATTTAGTAGGGATGAGATAAATAATACCATTAAATTGTTACGGAAACTATTGTATGTTTTGTATTGTGTTTTTTTCCGCTGCTTAAAAGCTTAAGTGAGTTGCAGAAGATTAATAGTAAGCAGCAAAAATAACTGTAGACATGACATTTACAGCGGCTCCTGGGGACAACACTTACATCACTATATCAGGTTAGTAACGCCATCTAAAGAGGCGAATTGTCATCATTGTTTATGTAATCCTGTGAGATTAAATTTGTACAGTATTGCGCAAAATACCCCATGTCCTCGGATTAATAGGTGTTCAGTGAAAACGTAAACCTGGTTTATGAGCTGTACTTGCCCTCTGTATTGTATCATTGCAGACTGTTTATTCTCTATTATTGTTATAGTACATTGAGGTTTGTTATTTTCACTGTAATGCACTTAAGTAAACTTTTGCACTGGAAAATATTATTTATAGGAGGATATTTTACAGATCGTAAGCAATGGAAAAAAAGATGTGTGTGTTCTATTAATATTGTGTGAAAGATTGCAATCCAACATTTGAAAAACAAGGTAACGGTAAAGCCAAGTAGTTTTGTTTGTCACCGTCATGTGACTTGTGGTGTTCCTCGCAGGAGGGTAAGAATGCTCTGTAGCAGGGGTGGACTGACCATTCAAGCACTCGGGCACTGCCCCAGGGCCCGGGGTCAGTAGGGGGCCCCATGAAATGCCCCTGGTACCTTTTATAGGCTTATTTGGGTGTGCTTTCAGTGTGGGCAAGAACACAGGGGCCCCATGATCCCCTACTGCCTGGGGGCCCCATGAGTTGTCAGTCCGCCCCGCTCTGTAGTATGTGCTGGGTGCCAATTAACCACTTGCCTACCAGGCACTTATACCCCCTTCTTTACCAGGCCAATTTTCAGCTTTCAGCGGTGACGCACTTTGATTGACAATTGCAAGATTGTACCCATATGACATTTTTAGCATTTTTTTCTCACAAATAGAGCTTTCTTTTGGTGGTATTTAATCGCAGTTGGGCACTTTTCTTTTTGCGCTATTAACAAAAAAATTGCAAAACATTTGAAAAAAAAATTTTTTTTCTTTGTTTCTATTATAAAATTTTTCAGACGGCTAATTTTTCTCCTTCACTGATGTGCGTTGATGAGGCAGCACTGATGGGCACTGATAGACAGCACTGAAGGGCACTGATAGGCGGCACTGATAGGCAGCACTAATGAGGTGGCACAGATAGGCGGCACTGATAGGCAGCACTAATGAGCACTAATGAGGTGTCACGGATAGGCGGCACTGATAGGCGGCACTGATAGGTGGCACTGATGATGGGTACTGATAGACAGCACTGATAGGTGGCACTGACTGGCATCACTGCTGGGCACTGACTGGCAGCACTGCTAGGCATTGACTGGCGCAACTGATGGGCACTGACTGGCACAACCACTGGGCACTGACTGGTGGCACTGACTGGCAGCACTGCATTGATGGGCACTGGTGGTTGGCACTGGTGGGCACAGGTGGGTGGCACTGGTGAGCACAGGTGGGTGGGCACAGGTGGGTGGCACTGCTGGGCACAGGTAGGTGGCACTTCTGGGCACAGGTAGGTGGCACTGCTGGGCACAGGTGAGTGCACTGCTGGGGAGCACTGCTGGGCACTGGTGGGTGGCACCGCTGGGCACTGGTTGGCAACACTGCTGGGCACAGGTGGGCGAAACTGGTGGGTGGCACTGCTGGACACCGATCATCAGGGCACTGATCATCAGTGCCCTGATGATCGGTGCCAATCCCTCCTCTGACAACTGCCAGTTCTCGGCAGTACTTTCCTTGCGCTCTGACAGTGTGAGGAAAGTGCAGCCGAGAACCGGCAATTGCATTTCCCGGTGATCAGCGCGTCATTGGACACGGCTGATCACGTGATAAAAGGCCGCTGTGATTGGCCTTTTGCCACATCACATGATCAGCTGTGTCCGTTGGACACAGCGATCATGAAGATCGCTGGGTGTGCGACCCTGGGGGCACGCAGGAGAGTGCGTTCTGGGAAGACGTCATATGACGCCCTCCCAGAACTAGCCGGCCGCAGTGTAGCTGTCATTCGGCTATCTGCGGTTGTCAAGAAGTTAATGAGATTGAACCCTAACTACTCTGCATAGGATAACATGGGGAGAAGCGAAGTATTAGACATGTGCATGCTGGAAAGTTTGCTATATGTTCAATATATTATGGAATTGGACATATTCGAATTGGAAAGATTCAATATTTTCAGACATTAGTCCAACTTGCCAAGAGAAGTGGCACAATCTGATTGGATAATATCAACTGAAATCATGTGCATTTGAATAACAAATGGAACAAAATTTGGATCCATTCATTATCTGAATCAAACTTATTGAACGAATTTGAAAATTGAATGAATTTCCCCATGGGCCCGGACTACTAGCGTCATCCAAATAAAATGAGCCCGGGTTCACACTGGTGCAGGACACCACATTCCTGTGCAAAGTATATGCAAGTTTCTGTGCAGTGTGATTTGACCCATACTTTGTATGGCTAAAATTGCATCGTGTCTGCACCAAAAAGGTGCAGGACCCTTTTTTTAAATCCGCACCTGAATCACATCGCATTGGCATTCTCACCCATGCAATGTGATTTCTGGAAATCGCATCACATTTTGCAATTTGATAAATCAGACACAGATGATAAACAATAAAACAGTGACTATGTGCTAATAAAGCCACTGGATGGTGGCTATGAAGTGAAGGAAGTGAAACAGTCCAATGGAGGAGTGCTCTTAAGATCCAGGATGATCCTCAGACGTCCAATATTAGGAACCGTCAGGTGATAAAAAATGTAAAGACTGCGCACTCACCAGATACGCAATCTTTATGCGCATTTGTGTGAAATATCACCGGACCTCCTGTGTCATCATCCTGGTCTGGTCAGATCTGGTCAGCATATCCTCCCTTGCCTGGTACCCGGATAGATGCAGCTATTCCATGGATCTGGCTGGCTCCCACCAGAACTCAAATAAACAGAAAAGGCCACATAGTGTGATATCCTCAGGTATCTTTATTGTAGGCAAAGGATAGCAGGAAAACCAACATGCAAAATATTACTGACCCAGTACAAATCAAAGATGGCCGCCGGGGCCCCTCGTGGTGGGCGGTGAGGCGTCCAACCTGCTGTAGCTCTCCCTGACGCGTTTCGAGCGAAGGCTCGTACTCATAGGGGTGCAGCTATGAGTACGGGCCTTTTCTGTTTATTTGAGTTCTGGTGGGAGCCAGCCAGATCCATGGAATAGCTGCATCTATCTGGGTACCAGGCAAGGGAGGATATGCTGACCAGATCTGACCAGACCAGGATGATGACACAGGAGGTCCGGTGATATTTCACACAAATGCGCATAAAGATTGCGTATCTGGTGAGTGCGCAGTCTTTACATTTTTTATCACCTGACGGTTTCCTAATATTGGACGTCTGAGGATCATCCTGGATCTTAAGAGCACTCCTCCATTGGACTGTTTCACTTCCTTCACTTCATAGCCACCATCCAGTGGCTTTATTAGCACATAGTCACTGTTTTATTGTTTATCATCTGTGTCTGATTTATCATTTTGCTAAGTTATGTAGCGCTGCACCCCCCCTTTTTATATTTATGTCCCTGAAGGTTTGATACGGTGCCTTTTTGGTGTACAGCCGCTGCTCATTATATCTATTTCAAGCGCTCACTTATTTCTGTTTTTCTTGACATTTTGCAATTTGTTTCGGGGTGTCATTAATTTATCATTAAAACCAGTTCCAGATCGCATGAACGAGATGCGATTGCAATGCGGTGCGGGAAACGCACAGAATTTGAAGCATTTCTCACACTGCATTGGTGTGAACCCAGGCTGAATGAAACAAATGCATTCATTAATTTCACTATAACTTTTTTTGGATTAATTGACATTTCATTACTATGTCTATTCAGAGATATGTATACATTTGAATCTCCAAAAATGAAATTTTCATCTGAAAAAGGAATCGTAATGAAACAAAAACGCACATGTCTGAGAGGTATATAATTATAAGATCAGTGGGATGACGAGTGGGGTCGGTTACTGAGGGTTACCCGTTTGAGATAGCTACAAATGGAGTATGAAAATCAGAACCATACTGCTTACCACAGATGTGGCAATTCTATTCCAAATAATCAGAAAAACAAGACAAGGAAAACATCAGACTTTTACAGAACCATAACAATATGGACAACTGGGGGAGTCAAGAAGGACCTGGGTTTTCTAAACCTAAAAATACATTCTTGTATTAAAAGAGGTATAGACTTCAGCTAGAGACAGAGGAAGACATCATTTTGCCCCTGTACAGATCATTAGTGTAGCACCCTCCTAGTCAGCTAGGGGGAGGTAGACTCCAATTGTTAGTAAGGAGTGCTGAGTAGCAGCCTGGGTGTGATAGCTAGCAGGGGTCAAAGTATGGTCAGAGCTGAGAGGCTCTGCAGACCAGCCCTCTGGAATTTCCCCCTGCTCTTGAACTTTGGAGAAAGATCTAGAAGCAGTGGGTGGATCAGAAGAGTGGCTGATCTGCACTGTTGAGGGATTTTGACCAACCCCCAACAGGAGGCTTGGAAAGGGGGCAGAAGAACCCTTAACAATGAGAGAGCCTGTTCAGTTGCAGGGGAGTTCGGGTGGAAGACAGAGAAGATGTGAGGCTGAAGAGAGGAGGGGGCCCAGAGGGGCAATGCTTTGTCCAATCACAGCTGAATTCACTGTGAGAGCCATGATTGGCCAAAGTCTCTGTGACTTTGGCCTATCATGGTTCACGGGCTAAGTCCACACCCCGAACTATATAAGGCTGCTTACACAGCGTGGACTTAGCACGTGATCCCTGATAGGCCAAAGTCACAGAGACTTCGGCCTATCATGGCTTACGGGCTAAGTCCACGCCCCGCACTATATAAGGCTGCTTACACAGTAGCCTTGTGTAGTGTGTTAGTTAGGTGAGGTTAGTTAGTGGTGTGTTAGGAGACAGTGTAGTACAGTGCTGTAGAGCAGTGTAGTGGTGTCAGTGTTTTTTACAGCACTTCTGTGTCACCACTGAATTTTGTTGATTTTTTTTTTTTAATTTCCTTAACTTTGCAGCATCAAGTCCTGTTGTTTTTCTTTTTTTTTCTTTTTTTTTTTCTTTTCTAAATTTTATTTTTTAATTTAATTTAGTTTTATTTTATTCTTTTTTTTGGCTTTCTGAATTTTAATTACATTTTTTTTTTGTTTCCGCAGCAGCAAAGATATTGAGGGCATAATTACTGTTCCTCCTTCTAAGATGCAAGTGTTCTTCCTTCTTCTTTACCATTTGTTTTTCAGCTTTCTTCATTTTTTTACATTTATTTATTTATTTTGCTGCTGCTGCAGCAGTAAAAAAAATATACATAATTGCTGTAACCCCCTATTTTTTGTAAAAAAAAAATATATAATAAAGCATTTTATAGTGCACCAAGCAGAAAAGTATTGCACCCAAGCACCAAACTCCCATTCCAGACTCAAAAATAAAAAGTTATAAAAATCCCCATGATGTCCGAAAGGCCACGCGGCATTGCGGTTTGCAGTCTCTATCTGAAGCGGATGAACCATAGCCAAAAACACCAGCTGCTTGAGCACCACATGCTTGACAAGACATATGACAACCTGCCATGCAGCCCGTTGGCAATAGCACCTGAAAGACCCACAGCCTAAAAAAGTGCGGACTTCTCCTTAATCCTCATCTGGGATCTTTACCCCTACTATAATACCTCAAATCTTCTCAACAGCTTCCACTGAGAGGGATGATGGTATAGCAATGGGTGCCACAGGTCCTTGCACCCAATCTGCTAGCAGTACACCACCTGTTAATTTCACCTGGAAAATTTTGCTACCCAGTTGCTGAACCATAAAAAAAAAATACTGTCTCACCCATCCGCAAGCTCAGCATCTAAATGCTAGCTTGGCAAAATTGCTAGCGTTACAACTGCTGCCTTTCCATCTGGTGGACTCTGCCCCTTCCGTGAATTTGCGGAATGTGCTGTACCACAGTGACAGGTTCTGAAAAAAACATTTCTTTTCATGTAAGGCCATTCCAGCTCTGTGTCATCATGTTGAAGGCAATGTTTTGGACTCGTTGGACAGGGCGGTCAGAATTTTTCAACGTTAGAGCGTTTTTACAGCTAAAAACTCCACTAGAAACCCACTAGTCCTGGGTTTTTTGTTCCAGCCAAAAAACGCCCCTGCCAAAAAACGTTGATTATAGTCTATGTGTGCATGGACACAATTTTTTTACAAATAAATATCTGAACAGTGTTGCGTACATTTGTATTCAGCCCCCTTTACTCTGATACCAATAAATAAAATCTAGTGGAACCAATTGCCTTCAGAAGTCACCTAATCAGTAAATAAAGCCCACCTGTGTGTAATTTAATCTCAGTATAAATACAGATGTTCTGTGAAGCCCTCAGAGGTTTGTTAGAGAACATTAGTGAGCAAACAGCATCATGAAGGCCAAGGAACACATCAGACAGATCAGGGATAAGTTGTTGTGGAGAAGTTTAAAGCAGGGTTAGGTTATGAAAAAATATCCCAAGCTTTGAACATCTCATGGAGCACTGTTCAATCCATCATCTGAAAATGGAAAGAGCATTGCACAACTGCAAACCTACCAAGACATAGCCATCCACCTAAACTGACAGGCAGGGCAAGGAGAGCATTAATCAGAGAAGCAGTCAAGAGGTCCATGGTA